CTGCAAAATGCAAGAAAATAGTATCAGAAGACATCAGCCATCTTCATCTTCAGGCCACCTCAATTAACAGCTGCAGTTCCTTTGTGTCATTTACTAAATTATGTAAGGCCCTGTTTCAGTCAGCTGTAGAGTGTTTTATTGTTATTTGCTGTTAGAATGCTCTTCAGCTTCTTCAGGTTTTTTGCCTTTTATGTTCTTGCAATAAGTGCAGTATTTGACAAAGATACGCTGAAATACAGATCCAGCATCTGACACCCCAGCATTTCATCTGTCTCCTATTTGTAGGACACTTACAATGAAACCATCTAAACTTTTAGAAAGCTTTAAAATTAATTGACAGAAAGATTGTGAATTTGATCTAGAATCCACTTTAGGATTGACAAAGCGCCCTCACATTAATTAATTTACTGTTATTTTTATGGAAGTCACTTAAAGCAATTGTAATACACCTGCTGATTCCCAGGAACAGCAGCTGTACTCAATGCAACAGCCACATGCACAATCACAGTCTCTGCTGACACTGTAGGTGTTGTCAAGATTGCCTGAACATTTAAGTTAAGTTTGTTATTTCTCCAAATCCCAACTCCTTCAAGTTTTCCTTGAGAATTGTTCTGCTGAGGGATACATTTGCATCAGATCTATAGGAACAAGGCCACTTGCTGAATCTCAGACCAAGCAGAGGTCCAAAGCCTCAAACCACTATCAGGATATACCTTCATTTGTGATGGGGACAAAACAAAAAGGCTTCCCAGAAGAATAGTTCATTTGACCCCAGTCTGGTATCAAGATGAAGCCTGACAGGCTGCTCACCACCTCTCTCATCTCCTTTGCTACTTAGGCTACAGCAGATTTTCTGTTACTGCCCATCCAAGCTCAATACACCCTAAAGACTGGTAAGAAGTTAAAGTCTGGTCATCAGCAGCCTCCATCACTTCTCCCAGAATCAGAATCATTAGTCTGGATTTAGAGTTGCGCGCTCACCGTTAGAGCCAAATATCACTTTCTGTACTTTAACATCTCAGTCCTGGATCTACCTCTCTTCCTTGGAAAAAAGTGCTGCACAGAGTACTTACAGGGTTGATCAGCATGTTCATTTCTCTGAGTCTCTAAACTCCTAGGATAAACACATCATAGTAGGTAACTCAAGCAAAAGAGGAGAAATCCTGAAGTCTGTTACCTGGTAGACCTTCACTTACATCCTTATGCCCCACTTGCAAAGTTCAAGGAGTCGTTTCAGGCAGGTTTACAATGAAGAACTCATTATAACTCTGCTATTTGTTCCATTCTATTTAAGAGCCTCCAATACCACCTGGTTTGAACACACACTCTGCCTCTGGGAGATAGGCATTAAAGCAAAACTTGATAACATCATTCTGTTTAATCGTACACAGAAAAATGTAATGTATTCACAGTATGTAATACTCCTTCCAGTTTTTCTGTTCTTTGTTTTTGCTTGAATTCATAGCTTACACTTAAATATTTTTGCAGTATTCAAAAGACTGTCTCAAGTGCTGTAGTTTAAATCGGACACAGAACAAACGAAGTCTTGAAAAAATTATGACCAACTGCATCATCAGATAAGCTCTTCCTTCATGCAGGTCTTGGCTAGAGTACAAGAGTTCAGTTATTATGGAGCAAGTCAAACACATCCATAATTCCTTGCATTGTTCTAAGGTCTTTGGAACATCCGTCCCTTCTCCAGCAGCAGGCACCTTCCCTAGAGAGTTCCGGCTATGTCTGATATCAGTTACAGCCAAGTGAATAAAATCTTGGGCTCAAAGCATCAGCTGATATAAATCACTACTGTGCTAATGAAGTCAAAAGAGCCACATCAGTTTACAACACAGGACATGACCCATACTTGCAGCCTGGGAAAGCAAGTCAAAGGAAAACTGCCTTTTCTTTTTATAGCCTAGTTCTCTAATTAGGATTTTTGTCTGCACTGTAATTCGGTATTGGAGAGAAAAAGAAAAAAAAAAGCAAAGAGCACCACATACTTTCAGCAGATGGATCACTGAGCTATAAAAACTTGTTGTAGCTGAGTACTCAAACATAACCTGCAAACATCCCACAGCCTTCAAGACTCCAAAAAGTATGAACAGTAATTGTTGCCGGCACACTGGGAATGGCAATTCAGGTCCTTAGTAAAAAGGCTGGCTAATAAGCACTGACATCCCCTGCCTGGAGAGGGAAGAGCTACTGGGATCCTGAAAAATCTGGGGCTCAGGAGACTTGAACGAAAAGGAGGAAGCAGAATAAAACAGTCATCCCATACCTGAACACCAACCTGACATGTAACAGTCCAGGCCATGAGCATGTGGCTTACCTCTGGGGACAAGTCAACTTTTTTGACTTGAAAAAGTGCAAGACTAGGCTCAGATAAAAAAACAACTAGGCAAACAAAAATGAAACTAGCAAATTATAGCTTTATTATTGTACAAAGTGTAAGTTACCTATTTGGCAGCCCTGGGAACAAATAGTTAAGCTGTTTTAACACGACTGTGTAATTTACTCGACAAGAGGAAGGATAGCCCAGCTATAAACTAGGAAAACAGATGACTAATGATGCAGTTGATGAACAGTTTACTCTGCTAGAAAAAGACCTGAACTTCAACTATTCAGTCCTTCCATGCCTGCATACTTCCGCCCAGTTCTCTCAAACCCTCCCTACTCTACAACACCGTGAGAACAACCTTTGGCAGCCACCTCCCAGGACTTCTCCCACTGAAGGGCAGTGATCCCTGACCCAACAGGCTAGAGAGTCCACACTCTGCAGTCTCCTTCAAAGTCACAGAAGAGGACCAGCCTCATATTTTACTAGCATCCCTGTCAGGTTAATTTCCTGCCTCTGAAGTCAGAGTTTAGGGTGTGAGCTGAAGCACTGCAGGCACACCACATTCCCCGGAACGGCACAATGATTTCTTGGTGCTAGTCACCTTGTTCTCTTGTGCAGGTCTCCAGCAGAAGGATCAGCATTGCTCTGTCACCCCAGTCTGAAGACAGGAAAAACAGTGGGGGTATGATGGAGCAAAGCAAGAAGAGACAAACAATACTTCAGTAGTTCCTAGTATTGTCAAAGGGAACAACGTCTAAAGGCTTCTTCTCAGAAAAAGAAATGGATGTGATTGTCTGGGAGCATCCACAAGTGTGAATTTCAAATATTAACCCTTAGGAGTCCCATATTAAAGGTACCATTAATCAAAGGTACAGGCCAGAATTTACTGTTCCCTTCAACTTTATAGAGGGAGCGCAGGAGAACGTGTGCTGGGAAAGCTTTCAGGCTTTGCCACACGTGAGGAGACATGGGCCTATCTTCCTTCTTGTATGAGCTTCCTTTCTTGTCAGCATGATTATTTCCACTGAGCAACAGGTAAAACAAAAGATTTTTTTAAAAGGAAATACTGCATTTTTCCATTAAGGTTACAAGTTATAAACCTCCACAACTAGCGTACTTCTCCTACTGAAGAGAAGGGAGCATTTTTTTCACATGTGGTCAACAGTTTTTTCTCATTTGCCTACTTTTGTGATCAGTATTTCGGCAGCAATCCTCCTTCCAATGCAGAGTTAGGGATACTCAGTGGCTTCAGCAGTCTGCCCAAGCAGAGCAAGGATAGCTGCATTTTGAACAGGATTGATCCAGAGACATGAATAAACTCAAACTGATGCAGGCATGACAAAGTCATGCAAGTGATTTCTCATGACCTGACCCACCATGAACATTCGCAAGCCCTAACAGGCATTGCAGGAAGGAGACTTAGTAGGACTTGTCATCCACCTTTGTAAATTCTGCACAAGAAGTGAGAGCTAGCAAACCCTCTCCCACAGACATTTCGACCCATCTGACAGACATACAAACAAAACAAACTACTCTGGACCTTCTTCTCCATCACCTCCTTGAGAATTTATTCCCATCTAAAAGAAGGCGGCAGCTCTGAATGGGGAGGGCCACACAGCCCTGGATGTACCTGATGACACCGAATCGAACCACACACTATACCAGCTCATACCAACGAGCAGGCTGCTAAATTTTTATCAGTAAAAATGCCCACATAGCCAAGAGTCCAGGCCAAAAAAGCTACATGACTGCTAAAAGTCTCAGATTCAGTCTCATTTCTGACTCTGCTACTGACAAGATTTTAATTCCAAAAGCCCTGTGCTGTAAATCACAACATGACTGAAAGAACTGTGGAGGTAGAGTTAACACAGCGTTAGATTTCTCTGGGATTTAAGGAGCTCTGTCGGGAAGACACCTTGCTATAAGAACCAATCCTCATTTGAAGCAACTGCCAAATGTGGTCTTTAAGGAGAAGGTTTCAGATACCTGCAATAAAAGCTTGACAAGAACAACACACAGCCACTTAAATCTGATGTCATCTTGACATTTGGGCAATCCTATCCAAGGTTTGCTTGATGATTCAAAATGGGAAGATTCAACACTCCTTAGGGTAAGGACAGAGGGGAGAATCATCATTTGTCTGTCTGCCAAGTCAACACAGTCAAACAAGACCTCATCATTTGTGACAGAACTTTTTTTTTTATATAACTACATATCTGTAAACATTCACACACTCTACAAGTATGAGTCATTTGGGTATGATATGACTATCAAGATGGATAGTTAAGATTTCTAAATGTGAAGCAGTCATACAACACTAGGATCCCCTCCCTACTCACAGCTCCCTCAAACAAGCGGAGCGGTGCAGCTGGCATGCTCAAGTGATGCCATAGCACCAGCAGCACAAGGTACGCCCCCCTCAGAAAAGAAGGGGCTCCTGGTGATTCTCAGCAGTTATCCTTCAAACATGCTACAGGCACCAGCGCAGTCCCTCTACCTGCCCTGTAGTCATGCCGCTCCTGCAAGTTGTAACGAAGCACCTGAGAGGAGGAGTGAGAGGGCTTCCAGGTCCCTACATCATTTCAGCCTTTAAATGGAGGCCACAAATCCACTCTTCACCTTACCCCAGCACAGTTTGAGGCACCGAAATGAAATTGCATCTTACCTTGTCTTTGTATAAAAACCCTGAGCAGCGGATGAGCACTTGAAACAGCCTTGAAGAAGTTGTCATCATTATTAATAGGGAGAAGGTCTCCATGCACATCAGCATATCCGATCATCACCTCCAGGTTGGCTATATGATGAATGTGAAGAATTAGTTTGTAGAAGTCTTCAAACTTTCCTGGCTTGTAACGATCCAGGGAGAACCTTCTGAACTCTGCCCCAAACTGCAAAAGAAAAAAAAACCAACAGTCAAATACCACCACAGCCCAATGCTCTAGCTTGGCATTTGAACACGATGTATATCTCTCTGATAAATATAGTCACATATCGGTGCTTTCGTCTACAAATGGCCTTTTAGGTCCTCACATTAGAACATAATCATGTCTACTAAGACACCACCCTGCTTGAAAATAGATATGCTCAGTGCGCCACCTTAAAAGAAAGTGTTTTTTTTAAATATTAAGTTTTGATTAAATCCTCTAGAGGATAATTGTATTGTAGGATTTAACTTTGAAGCTCCATCATTCATTACCGTCATTTTGGGCATCCACAGAACCATTCTTCTCCAAAGCAGAAGTGTTCACTCTACTGCTTTCAAAAGAACTTACTCAACTATTCAAACAACCTTATAAAAATTCTTTGCACGTTTCCCATCAATACCACTGGGATCCCAACCACAAGACCTTTAAAGAAGTGTGGTATGCAAGTGTACAGCTTGTTATTAGGAAATACACTCACTCTACATGCCCCCTGAATTTCCTGTTATCCATAAAGGAGGAGGAGAGTTCTTATTCTAAGTCAGTTTTCATGGGTTTAATTTTTTTGTCACTCCTCTGGTTTTTATTTTTGAAGCTTTACAGACCAGGGATCCCAACCACAAGACCTTTAAAGAAGTGTGGTATGCAAGTGTACAGCTTGTTATTAGGAAATACACTCACTCTACATGCCCCCTGAATTTCCTGTTATCCATAAAGGAGGAGGAGAGTTCTTATTCTAAGTCAGTTTTCATGGGTTTAATTTTTTTGTCACTCCTCTGGTTTTTATTTTTGAAGCTTTACAGACCAGTGGCTGTTAAAAAAAAAAAAAAGCGGGGGGCGGGGGGAGGTGTGTGATTTGGCACAACTGAAAATGTTATAAATCCATGAACTTATTTTAAGTAAGTCAGAAAGTGACTGACAAAAATATTTCAATAGACCTTATTTCTGATATTAGAAACCAAATATGCTATTAAGACTAGGAGGGAAAAAAAATAACACCACGGGAATTAAGACAGTGAAAAAACAGGCATCTAGTTAAACTGAATAGCTTAAATCATCTTTCTGGTATCTTTAATTTCAAATTGCATAGTACTAGTAAACTACTGTTCATCAACTGAGCCTCTAAACCATGCTAACTCATTCCTGAAAGCATGGAACCAGATCCGCTAACCCAAGAACAAGGAAGGCTGTGACTAGGATCTCATGGAAGTTCTCATTTATAAAGTCAGTCAATTTCAGGGCAAGAAACCAAAGACCAAAAAACCTAACAAGCAAACAAAGAAAAAAAAATGGGGAGGAAAAAAAAAAAAAAAAAAATTCGAGAATTTTCTGTAGATAAATTCTTCCTCGAAATGGAGAATGACTTGCTTAGAGGTTCTCAGATGTTAAATCAACTTACACATGCAAGCCACTCTTTTGCTGAGACTAACAAAAGCATGAATCATCACCATAATCATCTTCAAGCCAAAAAAAAAAACCAAAAACCCACAACCCTACTGGCTTTGGGTGCAAGAATGTTCTCAAATTACTTCCGCAGTTTTGAAAATCCCACTCTTCAGCATCAAAGCCTAGTTGTGTTCATCTGAAAGCTTGTTTAGTCAAATTATGCTGCTTGTTTGTAATATTAACTGCTAGTTCCAGTTTGGATTTCAATTCAGAGTGCCCATCCAAATGCACAAAAGCTGAACAAACCACAGCTGGTTCCAATGGAGGAAAAACAGTCCTCCTTTGTCCTCCACCCCTGTTCCTCTCCTGAAAAATTCAAGTGCCAACTTACTTCTGTTGACACATTTCAAACTGAAAAAAAGCTTGTCTTTTTATATGAAAAGTATCTTGAAGTTTTTTTTTCCTAGATTCAAACAAGAAGCAGCCATCTTCAAGTGATAAGTTTAACATCTACATGGTAAACTAAAGGGACAGGAACAAGATCTTTGTAGGCTTTATTTGGGGGCTGCATCTCCAGCTCCCCACACTGGAACAGGAACACGGGATTCGGAAAAAGCACCAGGCCAGGGTATTCCAATGCCAATCCCACTGTCCACTTGATTACTGGAGAGACAGCTTGCTGAGGACCATTAGCATGCGCAGGACTTGCAAGGAAGTGGACGCTGTGCGGTCTCACCCCAGCTGGTACAACATCCATCCTAGGCCTGCTGGGCGAGCCCCTCGGTCCCGCTCCGCCTGGCACAGGCGCTGAGGCACAG